GAGCAGTGGCGTCTGGCACCCACATCATTATCAGAGAATAATCCTGTATCCAGGGCCCACTAGGTGCCAGTCACTTGGGTGGCACTTTCTTCACCACCAAAGTGACTTTCAGAGAGGGCTCATGGAGGTGAAGTGACTTGCCTAAGGTCACGCTGCTAGCACGTGGCCAAGAATTCAGCAAAACCAGGACTCTTATTAAGTGAGACTGATGGTCATATTAGAGATGGATCAATTCCCTTATCTCAACTCTAGAAGGAAACAGAAGCTCAGAGAGGGCAAATCCCTCGTCTGTCACACAGCCAGTTAGCTTGAGAGCTGGGATTTGATCCAGGCTTTGATCCATGCCTGGGCCATGTAAAAAACTAAATTGGAGGGTTCCCATCACCCTCAGCCCTCCCTACTCCCATCCTCTCTGATGACACTTGACATTATCCGTCACTCCCTCGCCCTGGGAACGCCCTCCTCCTCCAGTTTCCGTGGTAGCACATTCTCCCCATCCTCCTCCTGCTTCTCTGGCAGCTGCTCACTCTCCATGCTGGCTCCTGAGCCAAGAAGCCAGGGGATCCCCAAGCCGGATCTCCAGTCTCTCTTCTCTCCCCATCACTAGCCCTGATAGCTCATGTACTCTTCCCTGTGGGTCTCTAGCTCTGACACTGAACTCTGGCTCCACTTTTAAGCAATAACTGCCACTTACCATGTACTTAAGAGTTTACTTATGTGCAGGGCCCTATCCCTATACATACATTAAATCCTCACAACCGCCCATGAAGGAAGTCCACTCTACTGATGAGGAAACTGAGGCTCAGAGAAGGAAAGCCAAGATCTGATGCCAACCTTAACCACTATTTGTACTGCATCAAGTCGAGGTATGAGGGCTGGGCACAGTGGCTCACACCTGTAAACTCAGTACTTTAGGAGGCCAAGACAGGAGAATTGCTTTAGGACAGAAGTTCAAGACCAGTCTGGGCAACACAGAGACCCTCTGGTCTCTATTTAAAAAAAAAAAAAAAAAAAAAAAAAAAAGGCTGGATGCAGTGGCTCACACCTGTAATCCCAGCACTTTGGGAGGCCGAGGCGGGTGGATCACAAGGTCAGAAGTTCCAAGACCAGCCTGGCCAACATGGTGAAACCCAATCTCTAATTAATTAATTAATTAATTAATTTTTTAAAAAGCTAGATGCGGTGGCTCACACCTGTAATCCCAGCACTTTGGGAGGCCAAGGTGGGCAGATCACCTGAGGTCAGGAGTTTGAGACCAGCTTGGCAAACATGGTGAAACCCCATCTCTACTAATAACACAAAAATTACTCGGGCTGTGGTGGCTCACACCTGTAATCCCAGCTACTCAGGAGGCTAAGGCAGGAGAATTACTTGAACCCAGGAGGCGGAGGTTACAGTGAGCCAAGATGGTGCCACTGTACTCCAGCCTGTGCATCACAGAGAGACCCTGTCTCAAAAATAAACTAAAATAAAACAAATGAATAAAACTAAAATTGCTGGGGATGGTGACATACACCCGTCAGCCAAGATATTCAGGAGGCTGAGGTGGGAGGATCACTTAAGCTCAGGAGGTTGAGACTGCGGTGAGCTATGATCGCACCACTGCACTTACACTCCGGGCTGGGTAACAGCAAGACCCTGTCTCAAAAAAACAAAACAAAACAAAACAAACAAAAAAAAGATGAGGATGAAGGTGAAGAGGAGGAGATCTGGAACAGTAGGACATTTTAAAATTTTGAAATCAGGGGCAAAAACTTCTCTCCCTCCAGGAGGAGGGAGAGAAATGGAAATTTTGGGGGAAACAGACCTACCCTGCAGTTTTGAGAACCCTGTGAAGATCTAGAATTATACTGTCAATTTAGAGCTTTAACAGGCACCATGCACAGTACATTCTGAAACGTGAAGATTTGGAGAGCTTCAGGAGGAACAAAAGTTCATAGAAAATTGCCCGTTTCCTTTAGATTTTTCCATTTGGTTTTGTGTTTCCAAAAAACCTCATTCTCAAGATTAAAAAAAAGAAAGAACATAAAAAAATGAAAAAAAAAATGTTTTTAAAAACTTCATTCTGGGGTTCCAGCTTCTAACACCTTTCCACTTCACTGATGCCTGAAGTTTTGTTTTTTTTTTTCTTTTTTTTCTTTTTTTGAGACGGAGTATTGGTCTGTCGCGAGGCTGGAGTGCAGTGGCAAGGTCTCGGCTCACTGCAACCTCTGCCTCCTCCCTGGTTCAAGCAATTCCCCTGCCTCAGCCTCCGGAGTAGGTGGGTTTACAGGCGCACGCCACCACGCCCAGCTAAGAAGCCTGCAATTAACTGGAAACGTAGAGCCTGGAATTCCAGGGACCCAAGTTCTGCCGCTACAAACAGGCTCTGTGCCTCAGGAGCAAGGAGCCGGACCTCTCTCAGCCTCAGCTCTCTTTGTCTACGATGGGCATAACACTACTTCCTCACTAGGCAGTCCGGAGGATCAGGTGGGCTGATGCACACAAGGCACCTGGCAGAAGCCTGGCACACACAAGAGCCCAGTGAAGCCCCGTGCTCTAGCTGCACCCTACTTGTTGGGTTTGCCAAGCATTTAAACATCCTCATGCTTCCACACACGCTGTTTCCTCTCCTTGGTGGCCAACTCCTATTCATCCTTCAGGGCCCCCAACCCTTATCCACCTCTTACAGAATTGCTACAAACATGTGTTTTAGTGAACAGCTAGAGAAGGCACTTCCCCGTGACACCCTCCCTGGGGCTCCCTGTCACTGCACTCATCACACTGAGGTGCACTCATCGGCTGATGATTTTTCTCCCAGCACTGGCTCAGGATTTTGGAGGGCAGGGCCGAAGGTGACCCATTTCCAAGTCCTGGTGCCCAGAGGGCATGCCGGGCATGAAGTAGATTTCTTTGTTTTTTGTTTTTTAACTTTCTCTTTTTTAATGATCTGGTCTCTGAATATCAGTACATGAAGTAGATTTCAATAGAAGTTTGCACTACCTTAAACACATGTGGTCCAGACCTGGCCCCCTGATGACCCGGCACAGATTTATATATCAGAAGGGGCAAAAAACAGCCAGATCTGTTACAGCCACAGGAGATGGCAGTGAGTGGGCTTCAAGAGCAGGCCTATCCTGGGAGGGACACAGTTCTTGCAGGGATAGTAAACAGCTTGGCTCCAATGTCACCTCCTTCAGGAGTCTTCCCCAGTTCCTAGATTGTCCCTTTCTCTGCCATACCCTGAGAGCATTCACAGGAGGAGCCCCTGATGAGGAGAAGTGTCTCCTGCCTTGCTGACAACCTCCCACCCTCAGACCCAGGGGTCTCTGTGGTCACAGCGTAGATGGGTTAGAACCCCAGGTCACAGTGGGTTGGCAGGCTGGATTTGAGTGCTTGGCACAGCCCCATATCTTTCCAGGACCCAGAGGAGCCATTTCCTGAAGGAGACACTTCCCTGGGTCTGGAGCTGCTGGGAGCCTCACCCTGAGAAGAGGGCTGTGCTTTGCCCTCCACGGGCATCCCTTCCTCCTAATGTGCCCAAAAGCCCTCTTGGTGCCTAAGTCCCCAGCCCCCTGCATGCTATTCAGTCCCTGCTAGAGTGACAGCCTCCTAGCTTTTGTTCCAAAGATACGGCTGTCAAAAGGAAAAGAAGTATATTGTTTCTTTTTCTTTTTCTTTTGTTTGAGACAAAGACGTCAATTTCTTTCCATCTGTCCCAAAAAAGGAAGAAAATTAAATTTGTTTTTACAAGGATGTCAGCACACTGCTTCAATAGGGAGTCAGGGTGCATCACTGAGGCAGCGTCGGTGAGGGAGGGGAGAGCGGTGGGGGGGAGAGGAGAGGAGGCACGGGGGAGGTGCAGGGAACAGGGGCAGACACAGATATTCTGGGAAGCAAAGATCCAGGAGTGCCTGAAAAAAACACCGAACCAACGAAGAGAAAAACTTCTACACTAACTCCAGGTGGATGCCACCCTCAGCAGCGTGAAGCAGGCAGCTGGGCTGGGGCAGGTGGAGGGCCCGGGGAGACTGGGGGGGAAAGCAGAGGAGAGCACACGCCGATGCTGGCCTTGCAGTTACAAAAGCTTCTGCCCCAGTTCCTTTAAGGTCAGGTCCCCCTGTGGGCAGTTCCAGTTCACTGGAGTCATTGACACCAGACACATGGGCGCAGCTGGATGTTGGGAGAAGGGAAGATTTCACCCAGGTTCTTAGCAGGGGCCCAGGACCCAGCACCAAGTCCAAACCGATGGTGCTGGGTCCTGGTGCTTCTCATACCACATCCACCCCCAGAGTCTCATCGTGGTCCTCTGTCCTCCAGGATCTGGGCTAGAGAAACTAGGGCTCTGGGGACCCACAAAAAGCATCCACCTTCCACTGGAGGACCTAGCCTTGAAGCAGAAGCCCACCTCTCTTCCTCCACCCATCCACAACCACCCCTTAGCAAAGAAAGAGGGCCACTCCAGGTCTGGGTTTTGGAATTGGTTTTGGAAACCTCCTTCCCAAGCCTCTGGGCCCCCATGAGTACTCAGGTCTGGGGACTCTACCCCAACCAAGACCTTACCCTGGAGCGGCTGGCTCCCCTCTCTGCTGTCCTGTCCCAAGCCCTACTGGGACACTGTGCTGTGGCCACTTCAATTCTAAGGCATTCCTGGCTGTTCCAAGGAAATAGATGACCATCAAAGAGTTAAAAGGTACATTGTTTCTCTCTCTTCTTATCTCTTCCTCCCTCAGTCTCTCTCCCCCCCCCCCCCCCCCCCCCCGCTCTGTCACTCAGGCTGGAGTGCAGTGGCACCATTATAGCTCACTGCAGCTTCGAATTCCTGGGCTCAAGCGATCCTCTCGCCTTCAAGGAGCTGGGCCTGCAGGTGCGCACCATCATGCCTGGCTAATTTTGTATTTTTTGTAGAGACGGGTTCTTCCATGTTGCCCAGACTAGTCTCTAACTTCTGGGCTCAGGCCATCCATCCGCCTCGGCCTCTCAAAGTGCTGGGATTACAGGCTTGAGCCATCACACCTGGTTCCTCAAGTCTTTTCTGTTCTATTTACAAAGGTGTCAAGTTGCACCTGGACCTCCACGAGCCTAGCCCCTTGCTAGAACTGGGGTCTGGGACTGTATCCCAAAGTAGAGGCCACAGGGCCTTTGCACAAGCCACCTGTCTGGTGACCAAATCTTGAGCTGTAGCCACGCCCAACTGTCCTGTCTCTGGGTCACCCCTCACAGGAGGCCCCTCCCTACTACACAAAGGCCGAGTCTTCCAGCTCAGTTTTCAAGCAACCATCCCCACCACTGCCCCTCCTGGTCCCGCGCCCAGACCCCCAACTCCAAAAGCTGGGCTCCAAGTTAGAAACCGAGGCTGTCTCAAGGTTGAAGCCCTGCTCTCCTGGAGATGCCCTACTTAGGGACTCAGTTCTAGGGCCACAGGTCCCGCTCCTCCCCTGGAGTCACTGGCTCCCCTGCCCCACCTAGAGCCGTGGACGGGGCACCCAGTCCAGAGGCACCGAGCCATCGATCTGCCCTCTGCCTCGCCCCAAGCCAGAGGCCCACCCCATGCCCATCTCGCCGCCCAGCCCCGTCTCCGAAGCAGGGTCCCCACCCAGCGGTCCCAAGCCTCCGACCTTCTGCCCCATTCCAGACCGTGGCCCGCGCCTCCCACTGGGACTCATGTGGCCGCCAGGTCACTAGAGAGGGGCGCGCTGGGGGCCTGGTCAGGCGGCGGCGCCACCGCCGGGACCATCAGACGGGGTGCAGGCGGTGACCCGCTCGCGGGCCGTGGCTTCGCGGGCGCGGCTGAAGCTGCTGGGCTCCCGGCGGCCGCAGGGCTTGCGGCAGAGCTGGCGGAAGCAGCGCTTGAAGTTCTCGTCGAGGAAGGCGTAGAGCACGGGGTTGAGGCTGCTATTGGCGTAGCCCAGCGCGATGCACAGGTGCAGCGCGGCCACCACCAGCGGGTCGCGCCGGTCGATGTCCACCAGCGTCCAGACGATGACGAAGATGTGGATGGGCGCCCAGCACACCACGAAGGCGCCCACCACCACCAGCACCATGCGCGTGATGCGCCGCAGGCTGCGGTCCTTCTCCTTGGAGCCCGACAGCAGGCGCACGCTGCGCAGGCGCAGCAGCATGAGGCCGTAGCACACGGTGATGATGAGGATGGGCACCACGAAGGCGAAGAGGAATACGCAGATCTTGGTCACCGTGTCCCAGTACCAGCTGGGGCTGGGGAACTGGAGCATGCACACTACCGCCCCGTCTGGGCCATGGAAACATGGAAAGACAGACGGGGTGAGGGGCCTGTGCGCCTAAGGGGCCCCCACCTGCTCGCCCACCCTTCCAAGGCTTGGGCAGGTCCCACTACCCCTCCCAGCCTTTGCTCAAGGGGATTCTTCTGTCTGGAACGTCCTCCCCGGCCTCTGTACTTGGTGAACTCTTAGTCATCCTTACAGACCAGCAGGATCGGCCCTCATCTGGGAGGTCCCCTTTCCATGTTCTCTCCTGGCCCCTTTATCAGCCTTTGTGTCCATGTGTGGCAGTAATGAAATCATTTAGCTCAGCGCACTGAATGCCGGTCATTGCAGTAACTCAAAACACCCTGACCCATTTCCAAACTAGCCCCACTGGGGACAGGACTGCTAAGATGGACTTAGCATGAGTTAGGAGCAGGACTCAGGCCCTACTCCACAGTGTGAGCAAATTACTAAACCTGTTGAAGCTTCAGTGGAGTGGGGCTAATGACAGGACCCACGTCTCTAGGATTGTTGTGACGAGTAAATAGGCTAAGGCCCGTAAAGAATTTAGCACAGTGGGTTCAAGCTCTTGGTGTACCCACAGGGAAGAGGGGTGCATATGTGTGGGAGTCTAGCACTCAGGGATAGGGCCAGCCTCCCCAGAGGGAAGCAGGTCTCAGCTGAATCACAAGAACCTCCTGGCCAGGCATGGGGCTCATGCCTGTAATCCCAGCACTCTGGGAGGCTGAGGCAGGTGGACTGCTTGAGTCCAGGAGTTCAAGACCAGCCTGGGCAACATGGCGAAACACCATCTCTTGGAAAAAAAAAAAAAAAAAAAAAAAAAAGTAGCTGGGTATGGTGGTGCGTGTCTGTAGTCCCAGCTACTTGAGGGGCTGAGGTTGGGGGATCGCTTGAGCCCGGAAGGTTGAGGCTACCATGAGCCAGGATAGTGCCACTACACCCCAGCCTGGATAACAGAGACTCTGTCCCATAACAACAACAACAACAACAACAACAACAACAACAACAACAACAAAAACAACTTCCTTCTGGGAGGAAAGCAGATTTCAGCTTAACTGCAAGGACTTCCTTCTTGAGACAGGAAGGGAAGCCAGGATAGAATGAGCTCCCCATTCCTGGAGTGTTGGGCTGGGCTTGGGCTGGATGAACACCTAGCGGGTGCTGTGGGATTCTGATACAGCCTCAAGGCTGGCCCAGGGGACTCACAGGATCTCTTGGAATGCTAGGATGTAAGAAGCCACACAATGGACTGGAGCCTGAGAGGTGAGAAGGGTTGGGATCCACAGACATAGGGGGTCCACGGGACATGAGGCTGGCGGACCCCTAGAAATGACTGAGTCCAAGACTTTCACTGTGTAGAAATCAGAACCAGATCAGCACTTGTTTAAGGTCACACAGCAAGTGGCCCACAGGTCCAATAGGTGCTGATGGCCCATACTGGGGAAGTGTGTGTGTGAGGGATTGTGCAGTGAGGAGGCCCATCTGGTCCAGCCCCAGCAGGGATGCAGTTAATGGCCCATAAACTGAAGGCTGACGGTGAGGAATGGGGCCCTGCTGCTGAGTCAAAACCAATGGCTCGTAGGCTTAGAAGGGCACCAGGGGTTCTGCCCTCATGAGGGTCAAGGGTAACCAAGAAGCTTGTTCTCTCCCACCCACAGCATGGGCCCTCTGCAAACTTCCACCCAAGGGGTTAGAAGGAAGAACAGACCTGGGGGCAGGAACCCTAGGCTGCAGGCCAAATTCCACAAAATGCCTGGCTGTGTGACCCTAAGTAAACCGCCTGACCTCTCTGATTCTCTTTTCTTACAGTGACGTGGAGGTGGGAGTCCCTGCCTTGTCCATCTCACAGGCTTAATCATTTAATAGCTGCTATTCACTGGGCGTTGGCGATGAGCCAGGACTTGTCCTAAGGATTCTATACATATTATCTCTTTTAACCTTCTCAACATCCCATAATATTGTGTGGCTCAGAGAGGTTAATTAGTTACCGTGTCTGCTGTGCCCTTCTAAACAGTATTTCTCACTTAGTTGCATTAAGGTGGGGCCATGTGACCAGCTGTCACTATTTTGAGAAAAGTCTTGCTTTGTCGCCCAGGCTGGAATGCAGTGACGTGATCTTGGCTCACTGCAACCCTCTGCCTCCCAGGTTCAAGTGATTCTCCTGCCTTAGCCTCCCGAGTAGCTGAGACTATAGGCATGTGCCACCACGCCCAGGTAATTTTTGTATTTTTAGTAGAAATAGGGTCATATTGGCTAGGCTGGTCTAGAACTCTTGACCTCAAGTGATCCATTGGCTTTGGCCTCTCAAAGCTGGGGTTACAGGCGTGAGCCACCGCACCCAGCCAACATTTCAAGTGGCTGTGCGTTCTCCCTACTCCCTTTCCATATTCAACTGTGGGCCAGATGCCAGCAGTAGAAGATTCAGAAACCATCAGGAGCCTGGGTCCCTGAATGACTGTGCTTCTGCCACTCACACAGGCTTGTGATGGGAGCGAGAGAGAAACGTCTGCTGTGTTAAGCCCCTGAGCTTTGGACAATGTCATAGCAGCTCCCCTAATGCAGGCGGTTACTATAATAATCACCATTTTAGCTCCTATTTGTCATTCCCTGTGGGCCATTCTCTAGGCCTTGCTTTGGTCATCCAGGTCAGTGGTTTTCAAATTGGGATGAAAGGGAGTTTAAAACGGGACTGCAGATCTTGCGGCCTCCATGGCTCACTGGTCAGTGACACCCTCACCTCATTGGATATCTATCCATATCTCTATAGATCAGTCATCCACACACCCCTGGCCAGCCACCTACCAGTACATAACCAGCTACCCATAATCCCCTTCATAAATTCATACATTCATACATTCCCGTTGGCCAGCAAACCGTATGACCACTGATCACATTCACCCTCACAATAGTCAACCATCCTCATGCCTCACTGGCCAGCCATTCGCATTCCCATTGGCTGACCTTCTACACTCCCATTGGCCAACCACCACATCATCACTGATCTCGATCAGAAGCCAACCTCTGCTGGTGAACCACCTACACTCACCCTGGTAAGTGCCCTGCAAGCCCACAAAGGCCCATGTGCTGCCTCATGTGGTCAGTGGCCTGTGCCACGGCGTACTCGCTCACTCACCCCGGGGACGCGTCACCGCCATGACCATGATGGGCACGCCAACACCCGAGGCCAGGACCCAGATGCAGATGTTGATGAGCTTGGCCTTGGCAGGTGTGCGGAAATCCAGGGCCTTGACAGGGTGGCAGACAGCGATGTAGCGGTCGACACTCATCATGGTGAGTGTGAAGATGCTGGTGAACATATTGTAGTAGTCAATGGAGAGCACAGCCTTGCAGAGCAGCTGGCCAAAGGGCCACGTCTCCATCAGGTACTTGGCACTCTGGAAGGGCAGCGTGCTGGTGGCCAGTGCATCGGCCAAGGCCAGGTTGAAGATGTAGATGTTGGTGGCTGTCTTCATCTTAGTGTACCTTAGAAGGAAATGCATATGTAATTGATCCCATTTCACAGATTTCAGTTTCCCAGCACTTTTGGAGGCCAAGGTGGGTAGATCACCTGAGGTCAAGAGTTCGAGACCAGCCTGACTAACATGGTGAAACCCTGTCTCTACTAAAAATACAAAAATTAGTTGGGTGTGGTGGCAGGCACCTGTAATCCCAGCTACTAGGGAGGCTAAGGCAGGAGAACTGCTTGAACCTGGGAGGCAAAGGTTGTAGTGAGCCTAGATCACACCATTGCACTCCAGCCCGGGCAACAAGAGCGAAACTCCGTCTCAAAAAAAAAAAAAAAAAAAAAAGGTCAGGGCAGAGGTGGGACTAGAACCCTGTACTATCTGATTTGGCATCACTCCTTTCACTAAAACAGAAGCAAAAAGATTTCTCTGGTTGTGAATAACTTTGGCAGAAGATGTTTTAAGAAAAATTCTAGGCCAGGCGCAGTGGCTCAGGCCTGTAATCCCAGCACTTTGGGAGGTGAAGGCAGGTGGATCGCTGGAGCCCAGGAGTTCCAAACCACCCTGGGCAACACAGTGAAACTTCATCTCTACAATTAAAAAAATACAAAAATCAGCCAGGCATAGTGGTACATGCCTATAATCCTGGGAGACTGAGGTGGGAAGATTGCTTGAGCCCAGGGTGGAGTAAGCCGAGATCCTGCCACTGCACTCCAGAGTGGGTGACAGAGCAAGACACTGTCTCAAAAATAAATAAGTAAATAAAAGAAAAGAAAAAGAAAAATTGTTATCTTCTGAGAGGTTCTAAGTAATATGTATAAAAATAAAACTGGGCTCCAGAAGAAAGCAGAGCTGGGTTCTAATCCTGCTTCTACTATTTATTATATTAGCTGGGTGACTCCAAGTTAGAAATTTGACCTCTCGAAGGCTCTGCATCCATAACTGTAAAAGAGGGGTGATGTTTGTAGCAACCTCTTAGGATGGCTGTGAACGTTTAATAAGCTAATACAGCACTTAGCTGCAAGCCTGGTGCATGGAGAGCACTCCAGACATTGCTGTTATTTCTCTTCATAGATGAAGAATGGAGGGGGCTAGACCAGAGTGACTTGATTCTCTAGCTTCTGCCGCTGCTCTGGCCTTTGGGGAATATGCTTGCTGAGGAAGGGACACTGCCTAGCAGATTGGTTGGGGCCTCAGGCCCCTGGGTGTCCTCTGAGGTAGACCAGAGCTCTCAGCCTTTCCTGTGGTCCCATCCAGGCCTCCCCATCCCCATGCAACTGGACTCACTTCTCTGCAGAAGCCACAGTGCATCCCTCTGCCCATCCACAATGGTGTGGGGAAGGGGAGCAGGTGACAGTGTCACACATCCAACCCAGGGCATGAGCCCAGGGGTCCAAGCCAGATGTCTGCAGCCAAACTCAGCAACCAGCCCTCCCAGCTTCCCTCCATGCTCTCTTCCCGGCACAACTATCTAGTTTGGCCGATGTTTACAGCCATGGCCCCTTCTCTACCAGGACCTGGGCAGGGCACCAGGTAGCCCCGGGGAGAGGCTGCATACGCTGAGCCAGACCTTCCCAAATGCAGCGTCACCACCACAGCAACACATGGGCACCCTGAGTCAGGGCTATGTGACACTGCTCTCGTGCTTCTGGAGCAATCTGAGATACCCAGAGGAGGGTTACCTGAGTGACTCCTCAAATTCCAGAGCGGGAGGAGAGATGCATTGAGGGGAAGTGATTTTATTAAAGCATGGCCCAAGGGCTCTCTTCAGAATTACAAAAAGAGCCTGGAAGAAATGCAGAGCCCTGAACTACACCTCAGATGCGATCAATCTTCATTTCTGGAACTGATACCTGGGAATCTTCATCTTTAACAAGCACTTCCTCACCCCCAAGTGATTCTTATGAACTCTAAAGTCTGAGAATTACTATGCAGCCTAAAGCCTACATCTGGGAGAGACCGGGAGATTGAAGCCCAGAGAGGCAGTATGACTCACCCAAGGTCACACAGCAACAGTGGCAGAGCAAAGGTGAGAACTGAGACCTCCTGACTCCCCATGCTCTCTTTTCTCTACCCCAAGGCTGGTCCCATACTCCGTGCCTCCATTTCCTTTAGAATCTCTCTGATCCCATGTCCAGCCCTGGACGCCTAGGACTAGACACTCAATGTTTTCGAATGACCGAACAAACCCGCATCGGCTAAGGCTGTTCCTGCATGAAGTGACTGGTATTTTTGGTTAGAAAGAAACTGACGCACTCATTGTCAGTTTCCTCCAGAAAACTGACATTGTCCTCCAGGGCGGCATCTGTCCTGCTCCCTCCCAAACAGCTGTCATTTGCTCTGGGGCTGGAGAAGGAAAAGTTTTGCTCAGAGACAGCAGAATTGCAAGTCTCAGGAAGTGTCTTCAGTGGGATGCGGGATCACAGCTGTGTGAGAGGCGGTCTCAACCCCACAGCTGACTCGTCTAATTTCTCTGCTCTTACGCAGAACAATTAGAGGCTGTTCTTCGCCTGCTATTTTGATTTGTGAAGGATCCTTCCATTCCCAGAGGGGGCTGGGATGTTGGAAAGTGGGTGATGAAGCTGCTGTAGTTGGTCCAAGTGGGCTTAGCGGCCCAGGGCTGACTGCCTGCCAGGCGCCCCCCAACCCTGCTCCTCTTCCCCGGCCACCCTCTCTCCCCTCTCCCACAGCCATGACCTGTCCTTCTTGCCACCTTAGACTCCCTTCTCCAGCCCCAAGACAAATCAGGGCGCTCCCCTGCTCCCAATCCCCCAGCGACTTCCCAAAGTTCCCTCTGTTCCGCAAGCTGCCCCGACCACCTTTGGGATCTCAGCTGCCAGCACCTTCCCCTCGACCAATGTGCCCCTGCCACACACTGGCCTCCTTGCTGGTCCCTGGACAAGCCTACTCCCACCTTCCCATTTTGGGGCCTCTGGACTTGCTCTTGCCTCTGCCTGGATCCCCCCCATATTTTGCATGGCTTACTCCATCACTTAATGCAGGACTTAATTCAAATATCACCTCCTCAGAGAGGCCCTCCTTTAACCACTCTATCTAAAGTACCATCCTTCCCATGAACTCTCTCTAGCGCCTTCAGCAGCTTCACTTTTCATTACAGCACAAACCACCTCCTGACTTACATTCATCTTTTTTGCCCTTTTGGCTTTCTCACCCATGTTAGTTCCCCGAAGGCAGAAGATCCTGTCCGTTTTGTTCCCTGCTGTATCCTTGGGCCTACCGGCCGTGCCCAGCAAAGAAGCAGGCTCTCAGGAGACATGCGTGATGCGGATGTCTTAGTCCCACCTCGCCAGCTCGCGCGGGCACACTGCAGCAGCCTCCCTCCCCCACAATTCATCACCGGTATAAGTCAGAGGCTCACTCTAAAAGGCAGATTTGGCCAGGCATGGTGGCTCATGTCTGTAATCCTAACACGGTCGGAGGCTGAGGTGGGAGGACTGCTTGAGCCCAGGAGTTTGAGACCAGCCTGGGCAACACAGCAAGACCACTGTCTCTCAAAAAAAAAAAAAAAAAAAAAAAGAAGAAGAAGAAAGAAAAGAAAAAAATTGGCTGGGCACAGTGGCTCATGTCTGTAATCCTAGCACTTTTGGAGGTCGAGGCAGGCAGATCATGAGGTCAGGAGTTCGAGACCAGCCTGGCCAACTTGGTGAAACCTGGTCTCTCCTAAAAATACAGAAATTAGCTGGGCGTGGTGGCACGCACCTGTAATCCCAGCTACTCGGGAGGCTGAGGCAGGAGAATCACTTGAACCCGAGAGGCGGAGGTTGCAGTAAGCCGAGATCGCACCACTGCACTCCAGCCTGGGCTACAGAGCAAGACTCTGTCTCAAGAAAAAAAAAAAAAATTAGCTGGGTATGGTGGAGTGTGCCTGTAGACCCAGCTACTCAGGAGGCAGAGGCAGGAGGATCACTTGAACCTGGGAGTTCAAGTCTGCAGTGAGCTCTGATCATGCCATTGCACTCCAGCCTGGGGGCCAGAGCAACAACCCACGTCTAAAAACAAACAACCAAGCCAACTCCCTAGCCTGGCTTTCCATGAGGGCTCCTTTCCCACGATGCCCTCACGTGACTGGCCACATCTGTAGTTCCTCACCTGTTCTGTGTAGCTCACCCTACCTCCCTCCAGAGAGACAGCCACTGTCATGGCTGGGTGGGGATCCTTCCAAACTACATATATGGATATAGCTTTTCCAAAAATTTTATTTCTGGACGGACGTGGTGGCTCACACCTGTAATCCCAGCACTTTAAGAGGCCAAGGTGGGCAGATCACTTGAGCTCAGGAGTTGGAGCCCAGCCAGGGCAACATGGCAAAACCCCATCTCTACAAAAAATACAAAAATTGGCCAGGTGTGGTGGTGGCACCTGTAATCCCAGCTACTCAGGAGGCTGAGGCAGGAGAATCACTTGAACCCAGGAGGCAGAGGCTGCAGTGAGTTAGTGCCACTGCACTCCAGCCTAGGCATCAGAGTGAAACCTTATCTCAAACAAAAAAGAAAAGAAAAGAAAAGAAAATTTTATTTCTGCCAATGTAACACAATTACAAAGCATAAAAAGTCATGCAGGACAGTGATGAGAACAGCTGCCCCTCTGCCCATCCTGGTTCACTTACTCCTCTGCCCTGCTCCCCAGAGCCAACCACTCTGAATGTCTTTAGCTATTCTTATAGTGCTTATCTCCACAATTCTAAAGAATATGCTTAAGTGGCTATTTCTTGATTCATCCATTTTAGACAGTGTCTGTTGAAGCGTGGGCTTGGTTAAGCAAGGCTATGCCTAAATACCACATCCCAGTGCTTTAACAAAGGAAGGGGTTACCTCTCACAGAGTCCATTCAGTGCTTCCAGGACAACTAAATTCCAGGGGACAATTCCAGGCTGCTTCACTCCTGTGGCCCCGCTATCTTAACCCAAGGCCCCCTTGATCACCAGAGAGGAAGAGGAGGCAGCTGCAGGGTGGTCTAAGCTTTAGTCCGGTGGCGACGCCTCACTTCCACATGAAGGTG